AAGTAGTGGCAGATGGCTGAAATAACTCTTCTGGATAGGATGTAAGTAAACTTCGGTTCTATTTTTGAAGCGTCAGGATATCTTACGTTTTTAAGTGGTGGCAGATTGCTGAAATAACTCTTCTGGATAGGATGTAGGTAAACTTATGTTCTATTTTTGAGTTGTCGGGATCTGTTGCGCTTCCAAGTAATAACAAATTGTTTGAAACAACCCCTTTGGGTAGGGTGTAGGTAAATTTTTGTCTAAAATTATCTACTTTTGAAATATCGGGAAAACGTGCGTTTGTAGTAGTGGACGATTTGTGAAGTAACCCAGAGGATAAACTTTATCAAATTCACCTCGATGTGCTACCATTGATCTGACGTTTGCATCCGGATTATGTCGCAAATGGTCATGCCACCGTGTCCTCACCCGCGCAACTACCTTAAACATTTGTCGTAAATTATTAACATGGGAAAAGCTCACGCCACGTCGCAAATATACAATCAATTTGTCGTGTACTATCAGGATGTACACACTCACACCGTGTAATGTCATAAATACCGTCACTATATGTCGTTGACCACCACAGGGAGTGGCCGTACCCCCCATGAAGTGCTTTCCTGCGTATGGCTACTCCTTTGTGACATGGATCCGTCTAGAGCCGTCCAGCGACATTGATCAGCGAGGCAAGGATGCTCCTGTGTTGTACAGGTATATGGGGATGTATTATCGGGCTATGCATGTGTGCATGATAATCTTGGTTTGTGGTATATATGTGTGTGTGCCCAGTGACATTGATCAGCGAGGGAAGGATGCTCCTCTGTGTTGTACAGGTATATGGGGATGTAATATCCGGCTATGCATGTGTGCAGGATAGTTTAGGTTTGGGGTATATATGTGTATATGCCCAGTGTCATTGCTCATTGAGAGAAGGATGCTTCTGTACTGTACATGTATATGGGGATGTAATATCGGGGTATGTATGTGTATACGAGTCAGTCAGATTTGGTGTATGTGTGTTTACGATTTGACGTTCATAGCGGTCTATGAAAATGTAGTGCATGTCTTTTCATTGGTCTCAACGTGGTTATATCCTGGCCTTTTAATGCACATGCAAGTGCATGCCTAAATATATTGGTACATAAACGCGTATTATATCTATATACTCATCCAGACCTTCTTATTTCTTCCCAGTTGGGTTCTATTACTTAATGCGAATGAAACAACGCTAGCCGTAGGTTGTGCACAAAATCGCGAATTCAATAGCGTAGATGCTTGCGAAGTTTGACATTACTGAAATGTCTAATCACTTGCTTAGCACCAAATGAACTGAATATATACAAGCCTAGGTTCCGAAACAAGTATCCGAAGTATCCTGAAAAATATTTGGCTTAGCACCAATTTCTTATAAACAAATACAATTCTCGTACCGAATTGCCACAGTTTCCTGACGTCGAAAGGTCTGGGATTTTCGGCCCGATTTGATGCGGCGTTTCGATTGGTTGTCAGTGCTTTGGGCAACAAGGGGCGTCTGGATTCAGAGACTATCACCTTCAAGAAGAACTTCCCAGTATTTGAGGTAGGCTGCTCTGTGCACACACATATAAGTTTATACGAATACATATTTCAATTCAGCACAAATATACCCTAATGCATATAACATACGATCTCTTTACACCCCTAGTCTATCTACCGGATGTGTAGCATCATAAAATAAGAATAAGTACCTCTTGGCAAGATTGCTGCATGCTTGTTATATATATATATACATACCATCGTATCATCGAGGATGTGACCGGGAGTGGTTCTTGTGCGGTTATGCACAGGCTTGTCCCCCTAAGGGTTATAAATAGACGGTGTCTAGTGTAAGGAACCGACACGCTTGTCAGATTATAAGACGCTCACATTAGACCGTACGACACGCATGTCCGACAATACGACACTCAATTCCCTTTTCGCACACGACCCGCCCCGATGTGTCACTATGAAGGGCAGTACCTCACTCTGTGTGTACGATACATTGTCCCTTATATCTATTTATACCAGCACCAATACTCTGTGCACTATATACGGTGTACTTATGACAATCCACAAGTGGGAAGAAAGTACTCGGGTGTTGCTGTTGATGAAAAATAAAACAGTAATGAGAAACCTCAGTATCATCACCGTACCGGGGCAGCTGTGCACACAGTTGTAGGGTGTTGTACAAGCTGACTTTCAATTGCAGTCTTTCTTTCTCCAGAGCATCATGTGCCGAAGGATTGAGCTGTACTCTAAGCACTTTCCTTATCTAGTGTAAACCAATGGTTCATGACGATTTTTCTTCATCTGAAAATATCATTTGTGCCTGGGGTTGCTCGTGTGTATGTGTTGATTATTTCTTTTGTGTCTAACCACGCAAATCTTTTTATCTCATTTCTCAACGGGATTGTCGATACAATGTCTATTTAGGGATTCTATTTTTAAAACAGTGGATCATGGTTACCATGGTAGACACCCAAAATCCTTTCTTTGTCCCTAGCTATTGTCTATATATTTTTTGTCTTTTATTTTGTCTTATTCATTTGTCTTGTACTTTTGGAATATATTTTTGAAACAGTGGATTATGGTTGCCGCGGTACATACTTGAAATTATTTCTAAGTTCCTAACTTTTTTCGAATACAATGTCTATTTTTGTATTCGATTTTTGTATTCTATTTTTGGATTCTATTTTTGGAAAAGTGGATTATGGTTGCCGTGGTACACACCCGGGGCCGCTTCCTGTCGAAGAGCACTGTGTCGTTGTACATCGACGGCATTCACGAGGAGAAGGTCAATCTCAAATACCCCAGCGTTCCAGACGTATGTATAGGCCTGCGTGTGCATATCTGTACTATTTATATCTGCACTATTTATATCTGCACTATTTATATCTGTACTATTTATATCTGTACTATTTATATCTGATATTATTTCTGCATATGTAGACATACAGGTGCACATATCTACTATTTGTATTGGATGCACAGCGGGGTGCGTGTACAATAAACTTATGTGTAGGTATCCGGTTCATTGTGGGAGATAGTCAATCTCAATGCCCTGACATTCCGGATGTATGTATCGGCGTGTATGTGTGTATCTCTGTTATGTGTATTTGATGTCACTTCTATATACGTATTGACATGTATGTGTATATCTCTGTTATGTGTATTTGATGTCACTTCTGTATACGTATGGACATGTATGTGTATATCTCTGTTATGTGTGTATTTGATGTCACTCCTGTATACGTATTGACATGTAAGTGTATTTCTTATGATTTGTATATGATATCCCAAATGAAGTTTTTCGTGTATGTAAACTATGTTCATGTTTGCGTGTAGGTGCGCCACTCTCCAAGAGTTCAGGATGATATTGGCATGTACGTGTGCATATGTATTAATCATATACGATATCACTTGTCAGCTACATTGTTAGAGTATCCTGCATTGTTTGAGTATCCTGCGTGTGCGTGTGTGAGTGAGTTGGTTTAAGGCGAGAGTTCTTAATGCTCATTATTTTCTGGATGTTTGTTACTGCGCATATGCATGTGGATGTTGTACATGGTTATTCATGCATGAGTGTGTCTTTTGTATATGATTGTGCTTGCCTGTCGTGTTCATTGCATATGTTACTGTATGTATGCATCTGGATATTGCACTTGTTTGTTCATGCGTTCGTGTGTCTGTCGCGTTTGCTATTTTGTGCGTGTGCGTGTATGTTGTCTATCACACCATTTTCCGCATCTAGTACGTTGTCATGTACT